CAACACGGCCATGCAGGGCTCTGCCCACTTGGCTACGTCATTCATTCACAGAATTCTGTGAATGGAAGAACTACAACTACTGTCAGCCTTTCCAACTGACGACTTGTAGATCTCAATGAACTACCAAGGCACTGATAAGTGCTCTATGTCAGTGTTTCTCAACCTTTTTTCAGCCAAGGCACTCTTTAAAATTATGGTCAGTCCCGAGGCACCTCATTCTAAAATGGGGGCCTCTAGACTGTCCATAATTTTAAAAGGGCACCCCATTCTAAAATGTGAAAAACTATTCTAATAGTTTTATATAATGAAGCAACATCCACACATGTAGGACACCCAAAATTAGAGGTGATTTATTCTTCCAAAGCAAATACAATTGTGAACACTGGTACTAACTAGTATTCCAGTGTTTCTCTTCTCCCTCAGTTTTTCTCCATCACTGAGCTAATGTGACCCTAGCATTGATGGAGAGGGGCAGGGGAGGGTCAAACTAGGATGAAGTGCAGGCAGATGACATCTTCCTTATCAACTGATGAGGTCATTGGTTGTCAGGTCGCTGATGGCTAGAAGGTCGTAATGGTGCACAATGAAAACCTGTGACTTTGTGTAACTAAAAAGGCAGGCTTATTCCATCTGCTGGCTTGTGTACATGTTTTGGGTAATCTCTACACATTTTGCCTGGGCACCCCTGAAGAAACCTCAAGGCACCCCAGGGTGCCTGGGCACCCTGGTTGAGAAAGGCTGCTCTAGGTAGTTCATTGATCCTTCCTGTCATTCAGTAACTGCCTAACCGTACAATGTACAGGCAGACAGCATACTAAGAGAGTCTGCAGGATCCAGGCAGTGCACCTGCAATTTGATGACCTTGGTTGCAATGCCTTACGGCTAAAATGTAAGACAATAATAAATCCACATTTTATTTTCAAAAAGATGTGCATTTTTTATTTTTTTTAAAAAGGTGAACTTATCCTTTAAACTCCTATGCTCTCGTCCCTGCACATGTACATGAAAATGAACACAGGTGGCAAAAGGTTCTTAGCAAGTCCCTGCTGAACTGGCCAAATTTGTATCCACCTATGGCCAGCTTAATCCAGTCAAAATACAAAAATGGCAACTGCCCCAGTCTACAACTGGCATTTGCAGCAAGGATACGTGAACCGGGTAACGCATGTCAAACAAGAAAAAGAGGAAGGTTCAATGATCAACTTGCCAGCCAGTTTGCCAACAACCGAATGACGAACCTGTCTAACAATATGCATTAAAAACAGGGGTTTAGTTAGCACACATTTGCAAATACATATGTAAGCCACATCATGGCACCCTGGTATTCTGTGGTCCTAACTCTACAAATTTTGAGAGCCCCTATAGTAGATGCACATGTATTTAAAGGATAGGTCAAGGGCAGGTGAACCTGAGGGAGCCCACACCTCTTAAAGGTACAGGAGTGCATTGGACACCCAGCATTTAGCACAGTGGCAGCCAGGGTGTCCTAATGCCCTCACACACCCCTACAATTTAACAATACAAAAATAGCCACTGCCCCAGTCTATAACTGGCTTTTGCAGCAAGGATAGGTGAACCGGGCGACACATGGCAAACAAGAAAAAGAAGTCTATTCGGTTGTTGGGAAACTGGCTGGCAAGTTGATCATTGAACCTTCCTCTTTTTCTTGTTTGACATGCGTCGCCCGGTTCACGTATCCTTGCTGCAAAAACCAGTTATAGACTGGGGCAGTTGCCATTTTTGTATTGTTAAATTGTAGGGGAGTGAGTGTATTAGGACACCCTGGCTGCCACTGTGCTAAATGCTGGGTGTCAAATGTACAGGGTGTCCTGTACCTTTAACAGGGGTGGACTCCCTTAGGTTCAGCTGCCCTTGATCTATCCTTTAAATACATGTGTCTCTACTATGGGGGCTCTCAAAATTTGTAGAGTTAGGACCAGGGGCGGACTGACCATTTGGGAACTCGGGCACTGCCCAAGGGCCTGGGGTCAGTAGGGGGCCCTGTAAGATGATCCTGGTACCTTTCATAGGCTTTTTTGGGTGTGATTTGAGTGTGGGCGAGGACACAGGGGCCCCATGATCCCCTATTGCCCGGGGGCCCCATGAGTTGTCAGTCCAGTCCTGGTTAGGACCACAGAATACAAGGGTGCCGTGGCTCTGTGGCTTACGCATGTATTTGCAGATGTGTGCTAACTAAACCCCTGTTTTTAACGCATACTGTTAGACAGGTTAATTCAGTTGTTGGCAAACTGGCTGGGAAATTGATCATTGAACCTTCCTCTTTTTCTTGTTTTAATCCAGCCAAACCATTTTATTCTAGATTTGTATTTTTAGATTGCGCAGAGAAGGATAAAAAACTATGTCAGAGTTATATTGCTTTTCCTGTTCCTACTAGGAAGATCGTCCCCTACTTTATGTCAGGACACAGATAAAACACATTTTTTTTGTGAGGAAGGGTTAGAACGTCTGACATATGTATTTATTACTCATTGCAACTTCTTTTAGCAAAAAAACAACTGCTCCTGGTGTCACAGGAATAGCAAGTTTATGGAAGTCTCCCTAATGGGGTCAAAGACAGAAATATAAACGTGACAGAGACTAGAATTTTTGTGGGGGGCTGAAGTTAAAACTTTAATTTGTTTGGATTCCTAGTGTATATGATTTTCTTCAAAAGTTTACAGGCAATGTTCCCAACTCTGTTAAAAGTATTTAGTTGCAAAAGAGATCAGAAGACCTATTGCCCTGTTTACTGGAGCTAGGGAGAAAACATTTTAGGATACTTCCAGCAAGCATGAGGATAAATGAATTCCTGTGTTCACTGCCCTTTAAATTAGACCTTTCTTACATTTGTTCCCTCAGAAGACATTAAAAGTGTTGGTAAATATGAGATTAGTTTACTAGAAGGTGGTCAAAAGCAGATTACCTGCCAAATACGATTTATGTCTCCCTGTTTTGGGGAATGTCTTTTATATACATGAGCTGAGAGTTGTTGCAAGGCCTGGAAGTACCAGAGCAATTTTTTAAAAAGAAAATATATAAAGCTAAGAGCACAACATGGAACATCTATTCCATTAAAGTAAATTATTAACTATCTCACCGTTGCACTGTTTTACGAATACAGGAACAGAAGATGGCTTGAGACTCATGTTCTGGGACAGTCAGTGCACCAGGCCTGAAAGATCAGTAAATATACAGAATAGGTAAAATGAGTTTATGTATAGAGCTTCAATAAGCATTCATAGATTGTAGTCATATAAAGCTGGACACATACATTACAATTAATAGTCTAATAGCACAATGTATAATCTCCTTTAGATTTAACATCTATTTTATTTATTACAGGTACTTATATAGCGCTGTCAATTTATGCAGCGTTTTACATATTATAAATATATTGTACATTCACATCACTCCCTAACCCTCAAGGGGTGTACAATCTAAGGTCCCTAACTCACATTCATACATATACATACTGGGGCCAATTTATCTACCAGCATGTCTTTGGAGTGCGGGAGGAAACCCAAGCAGCCACAGGGAGAACAAGCAAACTCCAGGCAGGTGGTGCCATGGTTGTGATTTTAACTGATAACCCTAGTACTGCCAGGTGGAAACGCTGACCATTTAGCCACTGTGCTGCCCCAATGTGAGGGTGGCCTTTGTAACTAATCCATTCAAATAATATCCAATTATCTAGGCCCTGCAATGACCCAGTTATTGGTAATTCAAAGCGAGATTGTACAATCAGACTGTAAATTGCATTACTGGCTTTAGATTGGCAACAGATCTGGACGTTATTCTGAACCTCTGATGTAGGGCAGCACAGTGGCTAAATGGTTAGCACTTCTGCCTGGCAGTAAAGGGGTCATTGGTTCAAATCCCAGCCATGGCACCAACTGCTGGAGTTTGCACGTTCTGCCTGTGCATGCGTGGGTTTCCTCCGGGTACTCCGGTTTCCCTCCACACTCCAAAGACATGCTGGTAGGTTAATTGGATCCTGTCTAAATTGGCCCTAGTATGTATATGTATGAATGTAAGTTAGGGACCTTAGATTGTACACCCCTTGAGGGTTAGGGACTGATGTGAATGTACAATAAATATGTAAAGCATTGTGCAAATTAACAGTGCTATATAAGTACCTGTAATAATAATAATAACAACATCTGGCTACTATTAAGATTTGAAACAATCAGGGCCTGTGCCAACTGACTTTGGGCTTGTGTCGTTGGCCAAATACAGTTTGTTTTTGACATCAGTTTGAGATGCTTCTGAGATCATTCAGTGCTTTTGACCTGCAGTCAGCCTCCTTCTTCCCTGAATTTGCCTTGCTCAAACCACCTGCTTCCCAAGCCAGTTCTGACACTTCTCACATAAATGTAAAAATCAGCTAGAAAAATAGAAACAAAATTTGCTAGAAAATTACTTGGAACCCCAAACATATGTTTTTCTTTCTTTTTACATAATTCCTTTATTTTAATAGAGGTTTAACAGTTTACAGATATGGGTTCAAAGACACAGAACAGAGTGTCATACATTAGGAAAATGCTATGTCATGAAAATGTCATTAATTGTGTAAGTAACACTGAGAAAACCTAATTCAAAAGAACAATAAGATACTGGAGCGTAATCTGGAGACATAAAATAAAAGATATTACATTGATCATTGATCATAGTAATGAGATCTAGGAAAAAAATGGACACTTATGGTAGTCTAATCCCAGATATGGTATTAAATAAACAAATATAAAATTTCTAACCATGAAAACAGCGTGAAAGACGCTTCCAGGAGCAGGGTAGAAAAGTGAATGAGGGGAAACAGGCCGGAGCTCCCCGATAAGGGAGAAAAAGAAGGGAAGGGCGTCCCTTTCATTATATGTTTTTTAACCGCCTCTATATAGTAATATGATGGACGCAAGGTGGTTCTTTCGTTCTGGGAGGACGTCTAATGAAGTCCTCCCATTCTCACCGCACATGCGTGGCTCCCGGAGCACGGCAATTGGCAGTGCACTGTGTCCCTCGGACACAGCAGATCACCAATCCACGGAAAGAGCCGAAGATGTCGGCTCGGTCATGTGATCAGCTGTGTCCAATCACAGCTGATCACATGTAAACAGGGAAATGCTGGTTATCAGCATTTCTCTCCTCTCGAACTGTCAGAGGAGAGGAGAGCCAGTAATCGGCATTCCTCGGAGGGGACATGTACACAGATCATCAGGGCACTGATGATCAGTGTGCCCTGATGATCTGTGTAGCCCCAGCAGCGCAACCTGTCAGTGTCCATCAGTGCCACATCAGTTCCACATTTCAGTGCTCATCAGTGCCACATCAATGCCACATATCAGTGCCCATCTGAGCTGCCTTTCAGTGTCACCCATAAGTGCCAGTCAGTGCCCCCTATCAGTGCTGCCAATCAGTGCCACATATCAGTGCCAGTCAGTGCTGCCTATCAGTGCCAGTCAGTGCCGCCTATCAGTGCCTGTCAATGCCGCCTATCAGTGCCATATATGAGTGCTGCCTTCCAGTGTCCATCAGAGATGACTGTCAATGCCCATCAGGGCCACCTACCAGTGCCTCCTCATCAGTGCCCATCAGTACCACCTATCAGTGTTCATCAGTGCAGCCTATCAGTGCTCATCACTGCAGCCTCATTAGCGCACATCAGTGAAGGAGAAAAATCACTTATTTACAAAAATGTATAACAAAAACTAAGAAAAAAACATTTTTTTTTCAAAATTTTCAGTGTTTTTTGGTTTGTTTAACAAAAAATAAAAAACCCAGAGTTAATTAAATACCACCAAAATAAAGCTCTATCTGTCACAAAAAAAATATAAAAATTTCATATGGGCACAGTGTTGCATGACCGCGTAATTGTCATTCAAAGTGCAACAGCGCTGAAAGCTGGAAATTGGCCTGGGCAGGAAGGGGGTATAAGTGCCCTGTAGGCTAGTGGTTAACTGCTTTCCGACCGTCCAATAGCAGAACTACTGCTACAGGGTGCCAGGGCTGCGCAAAATGATGTATATATATATATATATATATATATATATATAAAGTTGTGTTCAAAATAATAGCAGCAGTGTGTGTTGAAAAAAGCGAATAAAGCTCAAAATCCTTCTAATAGCTTTTATTTCCATACATACAAATGCTTTGGGAACACTACACATTCTATTCCAAATCAAAACATGAAGAAAAATATATAAAATTTGTGTTGTTCCTCTAAAAAAATTGAAGAAAAGTGAATATTAGACTGTTCAAAAAATAGCAGTGTTTGTATTCTTCTTTACAAACTCAAACATTCACTATATAAACTGAAAAATGTTTGAAGATTTTGCTTTCCTTTGAATCACTTAATTGAATATTTCATTGTATAAGCACTGTTTCTGAGAACTGCTGTACATCTGTGTTGCATGGAGTCAACCAACTTCTGGCACCTGTGAACAGGTATTCCAGCCCAGGATGATTGGACTACATTTCACAGTTCTTCTCCATTTCTTGGTTTTGCCTCAGAAACTGCATTTTTGATGTCACCCCACAAGTTTACTATTGGATTAAGATCCGGGGATTGGGCTGGCCACTCCATAACATCAATCTTGTTGGTCTGGAACCAAGATGTTGCACGTTTACTGGTGTGTTTGGGGTCGTTGTCTTGTTGGAACACCCATTTCAAGGGCATTTCCTCTTCAGCATAAGGCAGCATGACCTCTTCAAGTATTCTGATGTATTCAAACTGATCCATGATCCCTGGTATGCGATAAATAGACCCAACACCGTAGTATGAGAAACATCCCCATATCACGATGCTTGCGCCACCATGCTTCACTGTCTTCACAGTGTACTGTGGCTTGAATTCAGTGTTTGGGGGTCGTCTGACAAACTGTCTCCGGCCACTAGACCCAAAAAGAACAATCTTACTTTCATCAGTCCACAAAATGTTGCGCCATTTCTCTTTAGGCCAGTCAATGTGCTCTTTGGCAGATTGTAACCTCTTCAGCACGTCTTTTTTTCAACAGTGGGACTTTGCGGGGGCTTCTTGCAGATAGCTTGGCTTCACATAGGCGTCTTCTAATTGTAACAGTACTTACTGGTAACTTTAGACATTCTTTGATCTAAATTTATGATGAAACTTGATTTTTTAAATTTTTTTACTGGATATGTTTTATAGCAAAAAGTAAAAAATATTGTTTTTTTCAAAATTGTCAGTCTTTTTTTTGTTTATAGAGCAAAAATAAAAAACACACAGGTGATCAAATACCACCGAAAGAAAGCTCCATTTGTTGGAAAAAGGGACATAAATTTCATTTGGGTGCAGCGTTGTATGACCGTGCAATTGTCGGTTAAAGTAATGCAGCGCCGTATCAGAAGAAATTACCTGGTCAGGAAGGAGGTCCTCTGGAGGGCAAGTGGTTAAAGAGAGGCCCTGGGGAGTAAAATGTTGGGTGTTGCAATTTTTTATATCACATGATGTTTGTGCAGCTGTTTTACAATTGCACATTTTGGGGAAAAAAATACTCTAATGAATTTTAATGCACAAATACACAATATAATACCCAATTGTTTGCTAAAATATAAAAGATATGTTACACTGAGTAAACAAATACCTAACCTGTTTTGCATTAAAATTGTGTATGCCAGTGGAATGGCAATACATTACAATATTAAAAAATCTTCATCACTGGTACTTGAATTATTACTCTCTAAATCAAGGGAGAGTAGGAGAGCTAGGAGAGAGAAAGAAAGTGGAGGGGAGTGTAATGAAGAGATTGTGAAGCATTGTAGAGTGAGCTTTGGGAAGGGTCATTCTGGGAATTATGGGCTAGGATTGTTAGAGGGATAGAAGGGGGAAATGGATGGCGAGATATGTAGAGCAGGAAAGGTTGATGGCCATGCGGGAGGGAGCTGGTTTGACCCAGTGCTTAAAGCTTTAACAGTTAATTTATTGGGACAGGGAGGTTTGTAAGGCCACCCTACCTTGTTTTAAAAGTAGGAGGGTATGTATATAGTTGCTTATCTACCGTTCCCTAAGGCGTAGGTCATCAGATGGCCTTGTGTAGGATAAAAGTGGTGATAGATGGATCATGTGGATATGAATTTGTTTTTGGTGTTTTTTGAAATCACTCCAACCTCTTCCATTATGGCTATCAAGAACACTCTACATTTCAAATCTTTCAGTTCACCAAACCTCCCTACCTATAAAGCAGAAAGTGGGTAAAGAGATAGTTGAGCATCTACCATATTGAGCCCCAAGGCTTATGTCATCAGACAGCCTTGTAAAGCATAAAATTCTGCTAAATGGACCATGTGGATATTAATCTATTTTTAGTATTGTTGGAAATCACTCTTGCCTCTTCCAGTATGGCTATAAAGGGCACTTTACAAATCACATTTTTCAGATTTGTAAGTTTGGGGATTTCCAGATCAGAATAAATGGGATTTGCAGCAGTCAATAGATGTGCTTGTAAAAATTTTTGTGTATTTTTGCTTCAGAGGTAGATGAGAAGCGAAGAAGGTATATTTGGGTTGAAGGGGCAGTTGCAGGCCTATTGCATGGCTCCATATTCTGATGTCCTAATTATCTCATAGAAACTCATTGCTAATGAGGTAGCAGTATTTTTAGGAGCAAAAACCCATGGCAGAATCTTTAAAGCTTAGCTGAACATTGATATGCAGTACAATCAGGGGCGGACTGACAACTCATGGGGCCCCCGGGCAATAGGAGATCATGGGGCCCCTGTGTCCTTGCCCAAACTCAAAAAAGCCAATGAAAAAGGTACCAGGGGCATCTCATGGGGCCCCTACTGACCCCGGGCCCTCGGGCAGTGCCCGAGTTTCCAAATGGTCAGTAGGCCCTGAGTACAACAGTACAATATTGAGTCATGATCAGACACAAAGTTACTAACTATATAGATACAAAGTTGGAAGCAATAATGCAAACTTGGTTCAGTGCAAAAAACATGCAAAGACTACAGAACAATGAAAAAACCGGTTCAGGTTGGCAAAAACACGCATGCACCGCAGAACCTGATTATGAAAACTACACAAAAATGGACTCTTCACAGCATTGTCTCCATGACTCAGAGTAAATTAATGCTGCATAGCATAGTGCCTATGAGACTCAACAGAACAACAGAGAGTCAAGCTGAAGTACTGCTTCAGTAAAACAGTTCAGGACACAGCTACTTGTGATAATCCTCAACAACGCCATCCCTCTCAGTGAAGTTTGGGACAGCTTTGGTAACAAAGGTGAACAGCTGGGTGGTTCCAAGGACCAAAGACAAAAGGAGGTCAACCAACTGGAACTATAGTACTCCCAACATTTACGTTGTCTTCTGAAGAACTGTGCTTTTATGCTCCAACTTGCCTGTCCACGTTTTGGTTCTGAAAATAGATGGCCTCCCACCTGGTACCAGAAACAGGGGCAGACTGACAACTCATGGGGCCCCCGGGCAATAGGGGATCATGGGGCCCCTGTGTCCTTGCCCAAACTCAAAAAAGCCTATGAAAAAGGTACCAGGGGCATCTCATGGGGCCCCCTACTGACCCCGGGCCCTCGGGCAGTGCCCGAGTTTCCAAATGGTCAGTCCGCCCCGACCAGAAATCATGTTGATGACAGGTTTTACATTGTAAATGGTCATTCCTATCATGAGGCAAGGTGAGAATATTGAATCAGATGTCACCTTTTAGCGGCAGCATAAAATGAGATTTTCAACTGTTCCAGCTGCAGCTGCAACCAGGGGCAAAACACATTGCATAGATATGCTCAAGTGAAATTTATTAAGAGAATCCAAAGTCTTTTTAAAGCCACTATGAAACAAGTAAAAAAGCCTTCTAGTAAAACAAGACTTTTAATACTTACCTGTCCCAGTACTTAGCAGTCTTGTAAAGAATCTCCTACATGCCAAACTTTTGCAACTTGTGGTGACTACTATGCACTGTAGTGACATTGGGAACGGCAGATGTAAGTACAGTGTGCAGTAGGGATAAATTTTAACATCTTTGGAAGTGTGTAAGATGCAAGGTTTTTCAAAACAAACAAACAAACAAACACAAAGGTTGGCCATGTGGGTGGGGGAACAGGTAATTAATGAAAGTCTTCTTTTACAGGAAAGCCTCTTTTCAGTTTTTTCAGGAGGCAACAGAGGAACCTTAATGTAGCTGTAATATGAAATGTGAACAAAGCATATCCCTCTATAGTGTGTACTTATAATTGTGTCTCAATTAAGAGCACTAAGTGTCATTTCTGTCTGCTGCCTCATTCCTTTACTATCAGCATGAATTACTTCTGACAAGTTTTCCTGACACCAAGAGAAAAATGGAGACGGGGAGGGAGCTCCAGCATATTGGCAGCCTCAGCTCTGTTCCTGTGAGCTGTGTTGCGGGGGGCGTGTCCCTTTCCTTCCAATTAGCTAGAAGAGCTCTCTTTCCTGAGCTC